AGATCCACAAGCAATAGACTCCCACTAGCTCTTCTAATGGTCTCCTTCTTCAAAAAACACACAAAAGAACACTCAAAAGTCTCAAGATCCTCACAAGGTGGCTAGGGTTTCGTTGCTTCTGGAAATGAGGGTGGAGGTTGAGCATGGGAAGACCCTCAAGGACTTAAGGTCCTTTAGATATGGTCTAAACCCTAAACGTTAGGGTTTGAGCAATGCGACCTTACGCCTTATGTATAGGTTAAGTATGACATACGTAGGGCATTAAAACCCCGCCTCCACTTTCCTTCCATGCCCTGCGTAGAGGGTAACTCTATGCCCTACGTAAGACCAGTTTTGCTAAAATGAAATATGATAAGGTTCAAAATGAAAATACCTGAAAGATGGGTGTTATGTTAATCCTAATTAATCTATTTTAAAAATAGAAAACATTGTCTTTAAACCAATTTTATTATTTAAAAATTTAATTAATTTGTAACAATAATACACTTCTCCAGTCATCCTAAACATAATGACTGAAATTTGGATGTAGCCAATCAATTAGGGTTGATATCTCATTCATGAACTTGCCCAATAATATTAACTGATTGAAGTGAGTTTGATTCCCACATTGAAAATCCGACATAGAGCTTCCATAAATCCAAAAAATTCATCAAACAAAATATATTGTCAACATTGATATCTACTTCCAACATGTCAGCCAATAATAGAATTTTGGTTGATTGAGTTCACCTATTTGGAATTGCAAAACCACCATTACATATCCATTTCATAACAAACTCATTTATATGAGAATAATCGTAACTCTCTTAAATCGGTTGTAGGAGATGAAATCTATTATTTAGCAAACGATTACAAGTATGTAATCATCAAGTTTTGTTAACCGATTATGCATAATGTAGAACAGAAACTAATTAGGTTGTGAATAACCATATCAGAGTAAGGAGATCTATTCCGAGAAAGATTGCAAATGAGTATTTTAGTAATTTAGTTATAACCTAATTTAAAGATGATTTTTAAAATTTTAAATAGATTAATGACAATTAAATTAAGTATTTGGGTATATATGTGAGTTTATTGGTTTTATAAGATTAAGATGTAATTTAAGGTTTTACAACGATATAGACATAATTATGAAAATTTATAAAAATATAGATGAAATTCACCAAAAAAATATAAAGTTTCTTTTATTTTTCTACCATGAAACAATCAATTCAACAAATTCAAATAATGCTAGCAAATATATGCGTAGCAATTGTGTTTTATCTTTCTTTCCAAGTTGAAACAATGTGTCTTCATCTAACGTGCATAACATTCGTGTTACCACAACAACTAATTAAGATACAGTGCTTCTTCTTTTGGATACTACTGTAACGATCCAACTTTTCTCAATAAAACATGTTGGGGATTTATCAGACTTTTACTATAAAGTTTCAAAAAAAACTAGAGTTTTAAAAACTTTTTACATCCTATAATATATTCGGGTTTACAATATATCTTAACCATGATTTAAAGCAACAAGGATATACCAAATAAATTCTACATCTAGTCCATATACTTGGTGCTACTGTCCCCTCTCGTACTATGACTGCTACATGGACCCGAAACACATGTCAAACTACAAACATCAGACAACATTTTCTACTGAGCTATAAAACACTTTATTCTCGTCTTTTCAATCTCTTCCATTTTTTTCTTCTCATTAAGATCAAAATGGTATTGTCACATAAAATAACTATGTTTGTCATATAAAGTGACATCATAGTTCTAACCTTATTGGTATATAATCATCCAAACTTAGACCCTCTTACTTTGATCCCTCGTGAATCCTTTGTCAACATTTATTTTCTATAATCCCCGAGGATTCCAATGATCGCTCATGGAGCCACTACGTATAATTCCATGTGGATTAAAATGATTTCTTACATCTCGACTACTATTCCCAACTCGTTTTCTTCCCTTCTCTCTACATGTCATTATCTATCTTCGTATCTCTATCTTTTCTCATTCTCTATAGATCTCCATTTCTTCTTTTTATCTCAAACCCTTCTCATTCTTTCTATCTCTATATTTTATCATTATCTCTCGTTCTCTAACTCTTCTCATTCTCTCTATCTATATCTCTTATTATTATATCCCTATCTTTAATTCCTTTTATTCTTTATCTATATCTTATCATTATCTATTTATCTCTAATTATTTTAATTCTCTATATCTTTGTTTATTCTCATTATCTCGCTATCTCTATCTCTAACTCTCTTTTTTATCTGAAACATCCCAAAAATACGGTCCAAAAATTTCATTTTAAAATCATAAATAAAACCACAAATCAACCATAGTCATAAAGAGAATCATGTATCATGTATCTCAAAACATCATATCAAATACTATGTCAAAATCATGTAAGATAAATATCAGAGTCTAAGACATCCCAAGCCAAAAATGCAGTAAGTGTCATGCGATCATCCTGAGCCCTTCCCCTTTCCAGTGGAAGTACCTGAAACCAAAAATGAAAATTGTAAGCACGAAGCTTAGTGAGTTCCCCAAACTACCACATACCATACAAATATCATGCAACTAGGAGATACGGGCCCCATCCACTCTCATGGAGATTCGGGCCCCACCCACACTCTGTTGTCTAAGAGATTTGGGCCCCGCCCAGGCTCTGCTGTCTAGGAGATTCAGGGCCCACCCACACTCTGTTGTCTAGGAGATTCGGGGCCCGCCTACATTCCGCTACTAACATGCATACAAGTATCACATAGTCAATAAGTATATTTATCAAACAATCACATAACTATACTAAATTAACACTATGAGATTCGGGCCCCGCCCACACTAGACTGCTACGAGATTCGGGCCCCGCCCACACTTAACTACTAACATATCACATAAACGGGCTGGCCTTGGTGCCTTCGACCTGTTCCTACTGAAAGGAAACTCACCTCATATGATTAACTGCTGAAAACCTGAGTGAGGAATCCCTGTCTGCTGCTCCGGCGACTCTTTGGCTATAAATTCAATAATAACACTTAATCAAAAACTAATAACTCTTCACCCTTGGTCAAGGATAACACCCTGGTCAAAGTCAACATTCTAGGTTGACCAACTCACCGAGTTAACCTTTCGACTCGCCGAGTTCTATAGAGCTGTTTAGTCGCGATTTGGCTCATCCACTCGTCGAGTCCCTCTACAGACTCGTTGAGTTCTACTAACTGAAATCGGGATAACACGACACGACTCGTCGAGTCCCTCTATGGACTCAGCGAGTCCTTCTATCTGTTTAGCCATCTTAACAGATTAAGTTCTTATCTTCTAGATATAAGGTTCTTAGTTCGTTTTCCCACTAGAAAGGCCTTTCTAAGGGTAACGTTTCCAACTTTACCCCTCCATAACTCTTCTAAAAGGGTTTAGACAAAACCCTAATTCCTATAAGACATGGATCTTGTCCAAAAGGCCATAAAGTCTCAAATCCACTCATACAAACCTAGATCTAGGGTCTTAACATCTGTTGGACCCATAAAGTTCCGAGCTTTCCTTCCATGTATAGTATTTTAGGGCTAAAAAGACCATAAACTTGCTCATATGCTTCCATGGTCATAAAGTTTGCACCTTTATGCCTTAGAACCCTCCCTAGATCCTAGATCTGAGATATGAGCCACTTGGGACGTCCTAACTCCAAGGACCAAGGTTCTTGAACCAAAACTTTCATAAAATGGAAATAAATAGATCTAAGAGAAGAATGATCAAGTTGGAAACTTGATTACCATAAAGTGTAGCTAATGGAGTGTAGTTCCTGGATCTATTCCTTCTTTATTAAGTCTTCTATCTTCTACTTCTTCCACAAGCTTCAAAAGGCACAAATAACACTCAAAATGGCAAGAAATAGCTCAAGATCACTTATGGAGAATTAGGGGTTCGAAGTTAGGGTTTTGGAGGTGATGGGGGCTGGAATGGAAGCCATATATGATGCTTAACTAGGGTACAAACCCTAAATATCAGGGTTTTATCCAACATGTCCTACTCGTCGAGTCAGGGCTGCGACTCGTCAAGTAGCTCACTAAAACCCCTGCGTACAAAGTGTCTTCTACTCGACGAGTCAGGCTATCAACTTGTCAAGTCATTCTTTCAAAATAAATATATAAATACTTAATTAAACGCGTACCAGGAAACTGGACGTTACATTATCTTTATCTCCCTATCTCTAACTCTTCTCATTTTCATTCTATCTATCTCTTATCATTATATCTCTATCTATAACTCTTCTCATTATCTCTATCTCATCTCACTGTCTTTTTATATTTTAACTTTTCTCATTATCTCTATCTCCATCTCTTCTCATTAAACACATTTTCTCTTTTCAGAAGGAGTTACAAATTTCTATTCCCGAAGGAATCACATATCTCTATTCCCGAAGGAACCAAACATCTATATTCTCAAAATAAAAAAATAAAAAAGCTTCAAATCGAGTTTAATTTTAATAAAAAACAAAGTTTTAAAAAACTAAATTTTTTTAGAGTTTAAAGTCTAATTTAAAATGATTAGAAATTTAATGGTTAAATCAAATCATTTTATTACCTCCATTGCCTCCCTTAGGTAGGTAGGTTGAAATGACCAAAACCAAAAAAAATTCCTGCTTTAAGATTTAATTTAGCTTAATGAAATCAATTTTTTTTTGAGACTTTGATGGTCATTTAACTCAACTTAATTATTTTAAAAACTATAGATTATTTTTCGTTTTGCAGAGCATAACAGTCTAATAAAACACAAAATATAAAACTATCTTATTTTGAGATTTTTTAGATTTCAACTTGATAAAGAATAGTTTTTTTTTTATTTTTATTTTTATTTTTATTTTTATTATCACTTTTTTTTTTTTTTTTAAATTTAATGAAAAAAACATTATAAATAGAAATGAGTTTTAGGAAAAATAATAGAATAATTTTAGATAAAATATTAAAGATATATTGCTTCTATGAAAATTTTCATTTTCTAAAAATGAAAAAATAATAAGCTGAGTATAACAAAATCCATAGAGACGTGATGAAGTCTACAACAGTCGCCAATGAAAATCCAAAACCCTTTGCCAATTCGATGCAATCGAATGTGGGAATGAATGTCGACGGCGACGGCGACGGCGACCACGAAGTAGTCCAATAGTTTTTAATTGGTAGTAGAATGTTCAGAACTCCGACAACTAGTGTTGGCGGCAACGGCGGTGGTATCCCGTTAACTACCACCTCCTCCTCTCAATCACCAAACCCGTCGGGCACTGGTGATCAAAGTCACCATCGGTCTGCTGCTTCGAGAGCTATCCAGTTTCACCCGGCCAAACCCGCCATCATCGACCTATTCAACCTGTATCTCGGTGTACGTTTTATTTTTTATAAATCAAAGTATCAAACGACCGTTCGACTTCGCAATTCACGAAGGAAAATGTTCATTCGCTTTAGAATAGTCTTTTTCTCACGTTCTTGTCCATGCTTTCATCTACGCATTTTGATTTTCGTCTGTCAATCAATTCTAATCTTTGCAGAGAAATGGCCGCCATAAGTCAGACGATTCGATCCGAGAACCTCCGTAAGTCAATACCCCGCTCATCTTTCTGTTTTTTGTATGCATTTTGAAGACACAGAGGATTGCGATAAAGTAGAAGTAATTTATTGTAGCACATTGATGATTTCTGATAAATTTTCAATCTTTATGAAAATCAACTACAGGAACAAGACACAAAAGCGAGTTATTGCCCTCAATAGAGACATCCACATTCCTCCATGCGATGGGCAGTTTCTTTTAGACTTTGAGCAACTTCAGACTCAGTTTCCTGTAAGTTTCTAACTACAGAAAGCATTTTCATTAGCATCTAATTTATCTTATACTGTAGCTGTTTATGGTTTATCTTTCCAGGGTCAAGAACAACTGCGTGCTGTGTTGGAGTCTGTGTTTGTATCTATGGTCATCCAGTGTAGTGGTCATGCACCAAGATCAGAGTTTCTTCTTTTTGCTTTGCGTAGTTTGTACAGTATTGGGTATATATATTGGGATTCTTTTCTACCATCTCTTCTTTCTTCAGTCACATCTGCAGAAATGTCTCATATTCAGTCTCCAAATCCGGAGTCTTCTTTGATTTCAGTTCGTGGAATTGGATCTCCATCTCAATCAGCAAATGAAACATCTTGTACAGCTTTGTCTCCTGTCAAATCATCAATAAAAGATTCCCATATAAGCAGTCTGCGTAAGTTATCTTGTGAGATAATTATTTTTGCCATGGAAGCCAACTTAAAGCCAAGCACACATGCTGATATTTTCTGCCACATGATGAAATGGCTGGTAAACTTGGATCATAAGGCCTTATTTGAATGGCTACAAAAGTGTTTAGATGTGGTTTGGATGTTGGTTGATGAAAAGAAATGCCATGTCCCCTTCTATGAACTATTGCGAAGTGGACTACAGTTTATAGAAAACTTACCTGATAACAAATCACTATTTACACTCATTTTGGAGGTTCATAGAAGACGAGATATGATGGCCATGTACATGTTAATGTTAGATCAACATCTTCATTGCCCTACATTTGGAAGTCAACGCCTTTTGTCTCAAGCTGCAATTAACATGATTGGTGAATCAGTCCCACATCCAAGATACTCACCTATTACATATCCAAGTGTTCTTGGAGAGCCATTGCATGGGGAGGTAAGCATATGCAACTTCTCCCAAATCTTTCATTGTGAAACATCTTCCTCTGAAAAGATATTATCAAAAACACTTCAATGATCTAATATTCTGGCACCTCCATACGTAGAGTATGAAACTGTTCCTTGAGATACAACAGATTAAGAGTTTTAGAGTTTTTTCAATCATTTGTCTTAATGACATAGCAAGATTGAAAATGATGTATTATCCTAGAATGAACATCTTGAATGATCATGTGTATGTATGTAGGATATTGCTTTTTCAATTCAGAGAGGAAGTGTTGATTGGGAGAGAGCTATGCGATGTATTAGGCACGCCCTTCGTAGTGCTCCATCACCTGATTGGTGGCGGCGTGTGCTTCTGGTGGCACCTTGTCACCGACCACAGCCACAAGGATCAATAGCAGGTGCTGTCTTTAGCTCTGACATGATTTGTGAGGCAACCATTGATAGGATTGTTGAACTCTTGAAGCTTACAAATTCAGGTAAGCTTATAAACTCATGACATGATTTGACATGCATACGGGTTCCTAACACCCCAATTCCTAAACCCTAATTGCATTTCTAACCTTCAATAAGGTAAATAGAAGATTATACCTTGATACGAGATGATACCTAACAATTATATCTTGTATTCTTCGATAATTTATCTTCAAAGCAATTGACTTCTCTTTTCCATGTTGCAGATGTAAATTGTTGGCAGGAGTGGCTTATCTATTCAGATATCTTTTTCCTTCTCATGATAAGTGGTTGCATTGATTTTGTTGATTTCTTGGACAAGTTAATATTATGCATAACCAAGGAAGATAATCAAGAAATTCTCAAGTCAAATCATGTCACATGGTTGCTTGCACAAATTATACGTATCGAGCGTGTAATGACCACTTTAAGCACAGACTCAAGAAGAGTAATTGTTTTCTTTATATAACTTAATCTTATATTATGGTCAATTAATATATAACATATACTTAAACATGTATAGTATATATATATTTGTAGGTGGAAACAACCAAAAAGTTTTTGTCATTTCATAAAGAATCCATACCCTCGGATCCTAATACTCCCCAAAATACCCTTCTTGACTTTATAACCAGTTGTCAAACCCTTCGAGTATGGTCACTCAATTCATCAACAAGAGAATATTTAAATAGTAACCAACTTCTTAAAGGAAAGCAAATAGATGAATGGTGGAGGCAAGTAAGTAAAGGTACACCATATCGTATATACAAGTTACACATCACTAGGTTCATTTCGCCACATGGCTGATTTTTTTTTTTTTTCTGACGATTTTACCCTTTCCTTCCAGGGGATCATATGATGGATTATATGAATTTGGATGACAGATCCATTGGGATGTTTTGGGCTGTATCTAACACCATGGCACAGCCTGCTTGCGAAATGGTGTTGACTTGGTTGACTTCTGCTGGACATGCAGAATTACCAGGTCAAAATAATGAGAAAATTACAGTCATGAGGGAGGTTAATCCTGTCCCAGTATCACTAATGTCAGGATTTTCAATTAATTTGTGTCTGAAACTGGCTTTACAGATGGAAGATGTTATGTTTTTTGGACAGGTAATCTAAATCTGTATGACTTTTTGCAAACATACTATGATTATGATTGAATTGAACATATGTTTTCTGATATTTAATTTATGACATTTTATTGCAGCATGCACCTAATATTGCCATGGTGGAAACATACTGTAGGTTGCTTCTTATTTACCCTCATTCGTTGTTTCGTTCACATTTAAGTGTAAGTTCTTCTCTTTTATTGCTTTTTAAAATATTAGTTTTTATTTAAATTTGTCTTAAATTTTGCAGCATTTGCTTCAGAGGAATCCTGAAACTTTTAATAAGCCTCCAGCCACACTTTTAGTGCTTGAAATACTCAACTACCGGTTATTTTCATTTTACAGGTGATTCAGACTTATGCTTTCTTTTATCAATATCAACAACATACTTTATTATTATTATTATTATTATTATTATTATTACCAATTTTCTCTATTTAATATTATTAGTACAATTATAGATACCAAGGAAAGAGCAAGACATTGATGTATGACATCACCAAAATTCTTTCTACACTAAAAGGAAAACGTGGAGATCATCGAGTGTTTCGATTGGCTGAGAACTTATGCATGAATCTCATTATGTCATTGAGAGAATTTTTCTTCCTGAGGAAGGAAGGGAAGGTACTAGGGGCATATTTGTCTTTTTTCAATTATAGTTTTTTCATTTTTCAGTAATATCAACCATCTTGATTTAAAAATCTTTTGCAGGGAGCTTCTGAGTTGACCGAAACATTGAACCGTGTAGCTGTAACGAATCTTGCTATTATTATTAAAACACGTGGGATTGCTGACATGGACCACCTTCTATATCTTCCAACAATGTTGGAACAGATTTTGACCAATAGTCAACACACATGGTCAGACAAGACCTTATCTTACTTTCCAGCTGTCCTACGTGAGGCCTTGATTGGGAGGGTGGACAACAGAGGCCTTGCAATCCAAGCATGGAAACAGGTTACTTTCTATTTGGCTACATGAATCATTGATGTGTTTGGAACTTTAGATAGTAGTAAGGGTATTTTTGTAATTTTTACAGGCAGAAGCAACAGTTATCCATCAATGTACACAGCTCCTATCACCACCAGATGATCCAACTTATGTCATGACTTACATAAGTCATAGTTTTCCTCAACACAAACAATATCTATGCGCTGGTGCGTGGGTACTAATGCGTGGACACCCTGAGAGTATCAACAGTGCAAACCTGGTAAAATAAAACAAAACAAAACAGCTGTCCACTTTTACTTTATACTTGAACATTTTTTTTATTATTATAATTTATAAGTCAAACCTCTCTCCTTTGACTACAGGGACGTGTTCTTGGAGAATTTTCCCCTGAGGAAGTGACTGCAAATGTGTACACTCTGGTGGATGTTCTTTTGTGTAATATTCACTTGGAAATAAAACATGGACATTCCTTGGAGGTTTGTTTGAAAATTCTTTTTGATTTTTTTTTTTTTTTTTTCTATATAAAGTTTATTTATGTCATAATGCCTCAGTTTGGTTTTAAATTTTCAGGATGTAATATCAAATGTGTGTGGAAATCTTGCACATTTTATTTGGAAACACGGGTTGCTGCCTCCAGATGTTTTGCTTCTTGCACTGATTGATCGTGATGATGATCCCCATGCATTGCCGATTGTGGTATGGTCTTCAAGATGTATAATCTTTTCAAATCATTTTACATTTGTTAATGATTTTTAATTTCAGATAACTAATTGTATTTTTTTTTTAAAGGTTAATTTACTTGAAAGACAAGAGCTTCAACAAAGAATAAACTTTTATGTTGCTAATTGTGGAAGCAGCCCTGAGCATTGGCTTCAAACTGGAATATTTACTCGTAATGAATTACAGAAAGCTCTTGGCAATCATTTGTCATGGAAGGAAAGGTGATGTGTTTACTAAAACCCAAAATCAGTGTAAAGAGTAAAGACACATTTTTTTTTTTGTCCTTTTCTGTTAGTAAAAAACCATGAGTTAATTGTTAGTTAGCCTAAATTATTGACATTATGTTACATTTTTTACAGGTCACCAACATATTTTGATGACATGGCAGCACGTTTGCTTCCTGTATTCCCGTTAATTATTTATAGACTTATTGAAAACAATCTTACAGATTTAGCAGATCGTGTCCTCCAATTCCATTCATCTTTCCTTCATTTCTACCCTTTAAATTTCACATTTGTTCGTGACATTCTTTCATATTTCTACCCTCATCTCCCCCAAAACCTCATTTTCCGTATACTAAGCATATTAGACGTAAAAAAGGTAAAAGAAAAGAAAATATGTTCACTTTTTGTTTGTTTGTTTGTTTGTTTGTTTTCCTTACATCTTCACTGACCATATAATAACTATTTTTATGTTTTACAGACACCATTCTCTGAGTCATTTCCTCAACATGTGAATTCATCAAATAACATATCTCCACCATTGGAGTACTTCACTTCTCTTTTAACAAATCTTGTAAATAATGTCATCCCACCTTTATCTAATAAAACTAACCAATCAGAATCAACTTTCAAACCCCAAAACCAAAAACCATTTTATCAAATTCAAGATCCCGGGACACATACGCAACTTGTTCTCGAAACCACAGTTATAGAAATCCTATCTCTCCCCATAACCCCAACACAAATTATCTCATCATTTCTGCAGATTATTATTTCCTCCCACTTTCAACCAAAATTTAATCAATCATCTTGTTTGATGATTCAAGCGTGTGGGCTTCTCTTAGCTCAGCTTCCTGTTGAGTTTCATACACCGCTTTTTGCTGAGGTGGCACATGTGATTAACGAGAGTTCGTGGCATTGCTATGTTTTGTTGGATCCAACATGGGCATGTCAGGAAAATACCTCAACTACCCTTGGTAGGTTTCACAAAATTTTGGTTTTGTTTGAATCCTTCATGGGGTGATTTAGTCTTTTTGCTGTGTAATAATAATGATAGGGAATATGGTGGCATTGCTTCATGCGTTCTTCAGTAATCTTCCACACGAATGGCTGGAGAAAACACATCTTCTTGTGAACCAATTAAGACCTGTTTCTTCTGTTGGAGTGCTAAAAATAGCTTTTCGTATAATTGGTCCTTTGTTGCCAAGATTAGCAAATGCTCACACTCTGTTTGTTAAGGTATTCCACTTTCAAACTTTTTCTTATTAAGACATTCTACTTTGATTTAGGACTCATTATGTTTCAAACAAATAAATGAAAGTAGGTTGCTATTTTGATTCATTATGTTTTTTAATTAAATTTCCAGACTTTGGAACTGCTTTTGAGCATGATGGTGGATGTGTTTGGGAAGAATAGTCAGCAGCCATCAAATCCTGTTGAAGCATCAGATGTAACTGATCTTATAGACTTCCTGTAAGAATACACTGATCTTATACTATCTTTACTATCTGTGTAACAAATTTATAAAACTCTGATTTTATTTCTTTATTATAATTTTGATTACAGTCAGCATGTGGTGCATTATGAAGGGGAGGGGGGACCTGTACAGACGAATTCTAAACCAAAAGCAGATGTATTGAGTTTATGTGGAAGAGCCATTGAGAACATGCGTTCAGATTTGCAGCATCTTCTTTCTCACTTAAAAACTGATATTTTGTAAATTCAGTTTCAGGTTTTACTTCTTTTTTACTTACATTACATGCTTTCTGAATATATAAATGTAGCTTATAGAGTCTGTATAGATGTACTGAGTAATGTGTTTTTGAGATAACTGAAGGTTTTATATTAACGGAAATAATGTAAAAGGGAATAAGTTGGTATAAACATTTAAACTGCCAAAAAAAATTCACATAGTTTATTAAATGTTGAAACTTTCCTTTTATTACACATATAAACTACAAAATAGAATTAAAAACATAAAATCTGTCCTTGTAAACACCTGAAGCTTTACAACATACAGTTACAATGAGAGAGATTGTTGAAGGATCGAGCTTAAAAACATGCCCTGAATAACTCCAAAAAATATGTAAAATGTTTACTTGTTATCATCTTTATTCATTCTGCTACTTGATCCGGGTAACATACTTTTACCAAGGTTATAAGGTGCTGAAGCCATCACTCTATATATAAAAAATATACAAAAAAAAGAATATTGTCATTAGTTTTTCCAATATTTGACTTTTGAGGTCAAACAATCAATCAATTAAGCAAACAAAATACACAAATCGTACCATACCTTTCCTTTCGCTTCTCAAGAAACCGAGCCAAAGATGCTCCCCTCATCTGGGGAACCGCTGCATGGACAAAGTTACTATCAGTGTCAATGTTAATGTCAGTGTAAGATTGTAAGACTGGCTACCAATAGTTTTGATTTAATACCTGATTGCATGACTCGTCGAAGCGAGCTCATGGCTTTTGTAGCATCCATTGCCGCCCTTGAGCCTGTGCCGGTTGATGGACTGATCGACACTGGGCTCGAGGGGGCGGTGGTCATTGGTTGACTCACGTGGACCCCGTTTCCAGCTAATAACATTATGGCTTGTGCCTAGAAAAATGAAAAAAACAAACAAGATTTTTAGGGTTTTGTTTTGGTTGAAATATTTAAAATTAGTAACAAGAAATAAATTGATTTTGAGTGATTGAACCTTTTCAGGGGACATATCATCGTACACGTTCACAGTGCCCTTGTAAAAGATGGTTAACTGAACCGGACTACGTTGTTGTACTTGTACACTAGAATGATTTCCGGTTCGCCTACTATCACCTATAAGTTTTTAAGTAAATGATACTGATTGAATATAATTTTTAATTGTTAAAATTAATCTAAAAGTAGTAACTTAAACAAATACGCACAGAAAATCGCAATAACAATTTTACATTATTTTTAAAAAAAAAAACAGAGCTTTGAGAGAAGAAAAGGATTTAGAAAAATATAACTTTCAAAAAATAAAAAATAAAAAATTCAAACTTGTTTTGATGAACGCATTTCTGAAGTTCTGAATCACGTAAATTAAAAAATAAACCTTCAAACTCCATTAGCAAACATACTTCTTGTTATATCCAAAATACTAACTATTAAAAGGTTCAGAATTAAGTCAACACATACAATAGCTTTATAAAACCACTCATAAGCACCATAAACCCAGTTACCCCGACTAATTAATATGTCAAGAGTTACAAGCAATAAAAATTAAAAATTATTAAACAATGGGTGAAAACTTGATTTTTTATAAAATACCCATCGTCAATTAAACCACCAAAACATGATATTTGAAGAAAATAAAAACACCATGAAAACTGAAGCTTTAATACTTTGATAAACCACAAATAATAAAAGTAAAAATGAATATTACTGGAAAGATGTACCTGCTTCAATGGCTTCTTCCTTAGAATTCAAACCCATGAAATCCCTCTCCATTTTCACCTCAAATTCCAAGATTTAAAACCCAAAAATATCTTCACAAGTTAAAAAAAGAAAAGAAAAAAGATGAGAGAGAGAGAGAGAGAGAGAGAGAGAGAGAGAGAGAGAGAGAGAGAGAGATTTGAAAGTGCAGCGAAATTTAGAGTGAGGGAGAGGATTTTTTTTAGTCCTGGTTGCTCTATGGAAAAATATCGCAGCCGTTGATTACATTAAATAGAAAATAGCATGTTTATATCACTTCCCTAAATAAATACTATAACATTTTCTTTCTTATCCTTTTAAAACTAATCATAATTTTTTTTATTTATAACTGTAGTGGCAAGGTCCTTTTACCTTTTTGCACCTGGGGAATATCTTATTGTTACGGAAAAATTCCAATATCTATTATATTATGATTTTTATTTATTTTACATTATTTAACAATAAAATCACATAAGTAACTTCATTAAGGGTAGTGGAATATCTAATATAAAATATAGAGTAAATTACACGAATAGTTCCTGTGGTTTGGGTAACTTACGCGTTCAGTCTAGCGTTTTTGTTTTTATTTTTATTTATTTATTTTTTTAATGGGAAAGTCCATACTGTTTGTTATGTTGCACACTTGATCTATGGTGTAAAAAAACTATTGTATCCTTATTAAGTTATTTTTAAATAATTTCATTATGTATATATTTCTTTTTAAATTTATGAATAATCTAGAAAATTACACACCGCTCCTTTAATCCATTCAAGTCTTTCATCTAACTTCCTCTCTTGTTGGAGTAAAATGGCATTGGAAGAAACCGCCACCATCTATACTACTGTCATCTATACCATCGGAACAAATAGTCACCATCTTTGACATCAAAAAATAAAAACACATCGAATCCATTTAAACCAGAAATAAAATCTAAAATCAAAACCAGAAATCAAATCTAAAATCAAAACCAGAATAGTTTTTTTTTTTTGGTCAGACAAGGACCGAACGCACAAAAAAAAATAATAAAAAAAAAAGTTAAGGATCAAACGTGCAAGTTATCCCAAACCACATGGACCATTTGTGCAATTTACTGAAGATTTAATGATAAAATAAAACCATTGAAAACCAGTATTCTTCTGATTATTAACAAACATGCATATTTAGATAAATTTTACAAACAAGAAAATTACTAAAACTTGTACAAAAGAAAATACTTAAGTCAACGACATAAGAGAATACCGAAGGAGCAATGAGCAGGTCGGATGAGTGATGACTGGCTACGCCGGTAACAATTCACGTGCGCGCCATTTTTAAACGTAAAACTCACGCCCACTAAAAAAAACAACCAATCATCTGTCGGTTGCCCACGAGACCCGTCGATGGAATTGCGGGCCGGTTAATTTCTTTTTACAGTCACATCACATGTATTTAAATCCAACATGCAACAAAAGCTACAAAATTGTATATTTTATAAAAGGTTATTAGGTATCAATTAAATTGATTAAAAAAAACCTCGTAGCATACAATAATCACAATAACCATCTACCCTAAATTTATTACAAAATAACTGCATCTCGTGATATTGTTATTTATTTTATTTTTGACAATAGATAAATCTATCCACAATTTTTTAGGATTTAATAAAAAAATAGTCTAACCACTAAAATAACCATGATTTTCGTAGATTACTTTCTATGTAAATTACCAGTATCTGCGAATAAGTGAAAGAAAGCTTAATTGACATGCAACAAAAAGAGTGGTATATCACCTTTGCAAAATCTTGACATCAATCCGAGAAATCGTTGAAAAATGATGAGAAATCCCAATTTTTGTTAATTTTATAGGTCAAGAATACAATCTTAAGATTTCTTTTGCAATGTTTGAATATTTCAAACACAAAAAACTTCAAATAGATGATTTCTTGTTTTTTGAAAAACTCCCCCCATAAACTTGGATATCATTAAAATATCAAAACGAAATCTTCTTGGAAAGTGATTGATAGAATTATTATGATTTGATTTTTTAACTACTAATAATTATCATAAAGTTTAAACAGTACATTATTTTATAAAAGTAAATATAAATTTTTTACTGTTTACTGATAAATTTGTGTGTTTGATATTTAATAGTGACTACTAATGGGTTATAAGTATCATTGTTTATTGTTGGAACTTTTCTTATAAAATATAATAGTTGTAGCGAAAACGAAATTAGTACAATAATTTTTCAGATAACAAGTTAAAAATATAATATCTTTAATGAAAATTTCTTTATAATTTAATAAAATAGATTAATGATTTGATTTCCAAAACCTGAATCCACTTGCATTCGATGAGGATTTCCATGTTTGAAAACAAAAACGTGAAATGTGATTGGGACCAGTAATTAAAAAAAGTTTGGACAGTTGTGCAATGCATTAAAAAGGAACCTTTGTGCATGAAGTATTAAAATCAAAGAAATGCAACACATGTCAAAATAAACTATTCGTGGCGTGCTATCTGCCCAAAAACACGTGTCCTTTTCTGGTTTGATGAGTTTTAAACGTTTATGACAAAACAAGATACATGCTAAATGAAAACCTTAGTAGAATTAATCGGATTGCATCGGTAAAATTCGTATCTTTTTGTAATGAAAAGTATAGTAGAGTTGTTAAGTACAATATTTTAAATCATTAATTATTATGTATTGAAAAATTTTATTGTGTACGAATCAGCTTCCTTTATAATTCGTATACAGGGTGTAAGTGCAAATATTAATAAGGGTAAATAGCAAAAAAAAAAAAAAAAACACTTTGTTTACATAAAAATTCTAATTTGACATTGTATTTTTTTTTTATCTCAAATTTGATATTATGTTTTCAAATTTGTTATAATTCTGACAACTTAACCGGTCAACTAGGTTACATGCTGACGTGACATGACGATGTGTCAGTTTTGATGACGTAACATGCAGACATGATATGTTGATGTGTCAAAATTGATTTTTTTATCCATAAAAAACACTAAGTTTTCAATTTTTTTCGATTTTGACACTAAGTTTAATTTTTTTTTTAATTTTGACACTATGTTTTTTTTTTTTTTTTGTTCCAAATCGAACATCATTTATCAAATTTTGTTTAATTTTGACAAATTTCCATTTGAAACCGTATAAATATATATTTTTTATTACGTTTTAAACTGTATAAATATATATATTTTTTTCGTTTAAAAACCACATTTTTATTTAAATACAAGGTATTTTTTTTTTCATTCAAAGCATAATGTATAAATATGTATTAGTTGTATCATGAGAATCAAACTAACCATAAAAATTTCATGGGTTGCAAACTTGACATCCGGGTTTTGATCGGTTACATGTCTCCAAACCTCCAAACTCATTTTAAAGTTGCATATTTAATATAAAATACGGTTTTTATATAAATAATACATATTTATAGGGATAATGTCATGAAAAGCCTTAAGTTTGGCAGAATAAGTCGGTTTTATCCTTCGACAGATTTTTGGTTCGTTTATACCGCAAATTTGTTATTTTTTATTGGTTTTGCCCTTGTTACATGTAATACCAGGTTTCCAGGTTATTATGAAATTTTTTATGCAAAAAAACCCTTAAGTTTACAAATATTTTGCAAAAAAACCCTTAAGATTATAAACATATAAAATATAAATATATATTCAAAATTTTATAAAACTAAATAGTTTTCTACTGAAATATATTTTTAGCTTTACATACGGTAACTTTTATATTTGTTTGATATAAACTTTTTATATTTAAATTTTAAAAAACTTACCTAGTTTTAACAAAATTTGAATATATTTCTTAATTAATACTTCAACTTTTCAAAACAAAATTAAAAAACATTTGTTAGTTAATAAGTAATTATGCTAAAATAGTTATTATGAATAATATGGTATCATGTACATTCAATTAATTTTTTTAAAAGGTAAATAAAAATATTTTATATGTTTAAAAGGTCTGTATTTCAGAAATACTAACATATCGTATTTTTATATGTTTAAATACATAATAATATTATCATATTTTTTGAATAATATGATTTGTTTGATGTAAACTTTTTATATTTAAATTTAAAAAAAACTTACCTAGTTTTAACAAAAACTTACCTATGAATATGTTTCAGTAGAAAACTATTTAGTTTTATAAAATTTTGAATATATATTTATATTTTATATGTTTATAATTTTAAGGGTTTTTTTGCAAAATATTTGTAAACTTAAGGGTTTTTTCGCAAAAAATAATTCATAATAACCTGGAAACCTGCTATTGCAGGTAACAAGGGCAAAACCGATAAAAAAATGACAAGTTTGCGGTATAAATGAACCAAAGATCTGCCGAAGGGTAAAACCGACATTTTCTGCCAAACTTAAGGTTTTTTATGACATTATCCCCATATTTATACATAAAATTATGGTTTGAATGTAAAAAAAAAACTTGTGTTTATATAAAACTATTGTTTTTAATTGAAAAAAACATTTATACAGTTTAAATATATTAAAAAAATATTTCTACGGTTTCAAATAGAAATTGTCAACATTGAACAAAATTGGAAAAAATGATGTTCGATTTGGAACAAAAAAACATAGTGTCAAAATTGAAAGAATAATTAAACTTAGTGTCAAAATTGAAAAAAATGAAAACTTAGTGTTTTTTGTGGAAAAAAAATCAATTTTGATACGTCAACATATCATGTCATCAAAACTGACACGTTATCATGTCACGTCAACATGTAACATGGTTGACCGGTAAAGTGGTTACAATTATAACAAATTGAAAAACACAGTGTTAAATTTGAAAAAAAACACAGTGTCAAATTAGAATTTTGATGTAAACTGATTGTTTTTTTTTGCTATTTACCCTATTAATAATCGATATATATATATATATATATATATATATATATATATATATATATATATATATATATATATATATATATATATATATATATATATATATATATATATATATATATATATATAACAATTTTACCATATCAAGTAAAATTTAGATCAAAACAATTATATATGAATAAAAAAAACTGATTTTCTACCGTTTGGTTCGTGATAAATTTAGATCCAAACATCGAGAGAAACTTGGTGATGATGGTTTAATCTTGTGAAAACTGAGGTTCTTTTTGACA